TCTGGTGGATTCTAGCACTGAACTCAGTGGCAAAAATGATCCCTTCCAATTGTAGAATTCTATGATTTGCAGCTACTATGAACCCTTTTAACGTATAGAGTTCAACAATTCTTCTCTTTCTGTTGCATTAAATCCTTTTAATCAAATTGTATTTTTAAATTACTGCATTTAATTCTAGGAATCATTCTGCTATGTCTCAGTTTTACCTACTGAATGAATCTCAAGGCAAAATCAAAGTATCCCACTTTGAGAATATTTCTGATTTTTTTAAAAATGATAATAATTTAGAAATAAATCACTTACAAATAATTAATTCAAATCAGGTAACGTATAGCAGTTCAAGCCATTCAATGGACAAGTGAACATTCATATCCATTGTCAAAATCACAAAAAGTACTTATACCCAATCTTCATCTATCAGTAAAATAAATGAATGTAATTCCATACCTGGCTAATATGTACTGCAGAGACCTGGGTTGAACATACTGATGAGTGGCTTGGAGAATTTGGTAATGATTTGCAAGGACCTATTGAAAGCTGATGTTTTTTCCTGGTTGAAACAATCTTCTGTGCCACTGTAAAAGTAAAATAATAATATTACATATGCTTCTACCTCTGGAATTACTGGGTAACAATTTTCCAATCTAATCAGTGATGTAAATTTGAATGAGAGATCTCCAAGCTAGGAAACTTATCACTGTGCTTTGTGTAACTGACAATTTAGTTTGTATAAAATATAATATGTACTTTCAGAAAATAAACATGAAAAAGTCTGATGCTAATTTCTTCTTGCTTTAAGAAATTTACATGAATCTTTTGTCTCAAAAGAAATCTTGAATAATTAATCTGGTTAGAAAATGTTACACTGTCAGATGATTACATATAATACAGACTATTTCTTAGAGCAGACTTCCATAATGTAACGCCATGACTTTTACTACAATTCTCGCAAGCTACACCAGGAGCATTAAACATTGTAATTCAAAAATACTGGAAAATACTATCCTAGAGAAAGGGAAGCGGCTCTTTCACTGGAGGACTTTCTTTCTGTAATTTTTAAACTACAGCTGCACAATATTATGTTTAAAAATTGCTTATTAAATGTATACTACACAAAACTTTAAAGAAACTTTAGAAAAAATATTCCAAACCACAAAACATTCTTTGGATTTGGTTTAGGCATTTATAAATTGAGGAAAATGCACAACTGCTTTAAGGAGCTGAAATGAGCTTGTTCACCCTGAATCTAAAATACTTTTTCTGCTTCATCCTATTGCTAGGTTAGAAAAAGAAAAACATAAACGAAGAAAAAAAATTAGCAAAACAACAGAAGGTGAAAATATGTTACCAAAAAATTTAGGATACCAACAAAAATTCCAAATCAGTATGAGATTCCATCATTCAAAAGGGAGACGCGAATTTAAAAAGTTTATTTCTGTTTATAATTAACATAGAAACCAATTTCAAATTATAAAGAGATTCTTATAAAAACAGATCTTTTCTGAAGGAATTATCATTAATATATATTAAAAACAATATAAACAAAAAAAAATTTTTTCCAGTTTTTATGGTCTGCAAACCAAAAAAATAATAATTTGTACTTGTTACAGAATGCAGTCCTACATGATATTACAGGAATTAAGTTATACAATTTTTCCTTTTAATGACCCATTACCGATGTCTCAGCCAAAAATACTAGCTTAAGAAATAAGCATGAGTGTTATATATTAATTTTTAACTTTTAATATTTTTAAATTTTAGTGAAGGTTTATATTTTTATATTGTTTATAACAGTTGTTTTTATAGCATCATTTTGAATGTTGTATACCACCCAGAGTCACTTCCGATGAGATGCAGACTTCTATAAATTAATTAAATAAATAAATAAAATATATGAGTACCACCTTGACCATGAAGCTCTGGCAACAATAATTTAAATTTTTCAATTTAGGCATCACCTGACTCCAAATTGACTCTTGGCAATGTACAATAAAATTAAACAAAATGGAAAGTATAGTATAATACATCATAATAACAAAGAAGAAGAAAGTGGATGAAGAAGGAAAATAGATGGCAGGTCACACCCTCTTTGCTATCTATTTAGATTATGGTAAACTGCTATATATTATATACATAAAGTTGCCTTTGAAAATAATCTAGAAGTTTCTACTGGTACAAAACACAATGGCCAAGATATTAGCAGATAAAAGTGTCTACTGTGTCTGATAACTATTATTACTACAGTTGTTGCCAATAAGTTGACATCAATTGAAAACATTATTTTTTCATACGAAGCTTTATGTGACTAAGATCTAGGATTCTTTAGGAACTGCCTCCTTCAAGTGAAAAACAACTGGCACTTGGTTTTCCTGGATTTGTGCTTGGCTGTTAAGAGAATATGATTTGAACAAACATTTACAGGCTGGTTCTTCCGTTCATTTACTGTTTCTGAGTGAACTGCAAAGTCTATAACATGTTTTCCAGAAAACAAGACCCACCCCAAATATAAGCCCTAGCCTGATTTTGGGGATGGGCCTAATATAAACTTTACCCTAAAAATAAGCCTGGGGAATGAGCATGGCCAGCACAAGATGCAGCGAGCATGCAGGGGCCAATGGTGTCTGGCAGCAGCCGCAGCCAAACAACACCTTGGCACAATGCAGGTAAGTTCGGGTATGGAGGCAGAGGCAGGGGAAAACAGGAAATCCAGATGTGCTGCATGGCTGCCTGGCTCACAAGGGGCTTGTGGGAGACTTGTGCGGTGGCACAGGCAGCAGGTGAAGGCAGAGGTACAGGGGAGGCAAGTGTTCCCAATGCCACACGCAGATACCTGCTCCGGTGCAGCCACGGTCAAGCCGACAGATAGTGAGACAGAATGGGCGTGTTGAGATCACCAACCTCCCCCATGCCTCTGGCTCCACCATGCACTTTTTTTCCAAAAGAATACTGAAAGCTTTGTCCGCTTGCAAATGGGGCATTTTAAAATGGAGCTAATCACTCCGTTTCAAAGTGCCCCATTTGCAAGCAGGCAAAGCTTCCAATGTCCTTCATTTCTCCATCCAGGTAAAAAGTGTTTGGGTACCTATAGGGTGCTTGGGAATGGAGCAATTTGCTCCATTCCCAAATGCCCCATAGGCACCTAAACACTTTTCCGCCAGAGGGAGACGAAGTTTCCCCTGCTTGCAAATGGGGTGCTTTGAAACGGAGCTAATTGCTCCATTTCAAAGAGCACCATTTGTAAGCAGATGAAGCTTCCGGTCTCTGTCATTTCTCCATCAAGGCAAAAAGTACCCTGGGAAGTCCTGTAAGCTGCTGTGGCTATGGGCAAGCAGATGGTGGGGAGGGAGCAGGCGCGTGGCTGCAAAATAAGACATCCTCTGAAAATAAGACCTAATGTGTCTTTTGGTGTATATATCTATCACCTGATCTTATTTTCAGGGGGAAATGGTAGGACAATATGTGGTTATTTATATATTGTAGCATTGTTTTCGATGTATGATATTTTAATCTAATTGCTATATACAACTTGTAATCAGTGGAGCTATATTTTATATAAAATATGTTTAATTAAATAAACAGGTTTTCTGACTATTGATAAACTTATAATATATGCACCCACCAGAGTTCACTTTATTAAAACTTTTATGAGAAATATGGAAAAATGAGGATTTCCGGTTTGGGCTTTTTCGAAGATGGACTGAAATCATGATCATCCGCGGTTTTGATCTGTGCTCACCGCTGGAGCGCCCTGAGCCACCCGGATTCGGGGCTGAAGCCACCCCATAGAGGTGGTGAAGAAGGGGGAGCCATCAGCAGGGTTGAGGAAAGCCGCATCTCTCCTCCTCAGCTGGCCATTACTCCCTTTCCCAAAGGCGGTTGCAGTGGTGGTCAGAAATGGCCACCTCAAAGAAGAACCCGACTAGACAAGATTGTGCAGGAGGAAGTTTAAAGGAGAAAGTTTGACTGACCAGGTTGAATGGAGAACATCTATTTAAGGTACCTAGAACCTGAATTTTAAAGACTAATACTATTCCTAAAAAAGATTTTAAGCTGCGAAAGAGAAAGGGAAAGGAAATGGAATTGGCTTTTTTTCCTCTAACATAAACAGTTTTAATTGACTTGGAACATTAAGAAGAGATTCGAATAAGAAATTGATACTAATCCACTTTGACATTAATAGGCTATTTCTAGCTGAAAATAAAGTGTCAAAGGGATAAAGATTCTTAGATAATTTAAAAACTTTCTTTAAAAAAAGAAAGCAAGCAGCGGAGGGAGAAAGGAAAAAAGAGGGTGGAATCTGGAAAATGGAGGAGACCACCTGGAACTTAAAAAAAACAACTGATAGTGGAATTTTAACAAGGCTTGCAAAAGATACATTGTAGCTGAAACTTTGTTATAAGATAACAAAGCCCCTGAAAAGAGAAAGTGAGAAAAGAAGCAAGAAACAGTTTTGGATTATTGGATGATTCCTGGAACTTTGGATGGAGGATCCTAATGAAATAAAATAAAATCAATTGGGTGTTGTTTAAAAATTTTTAAAATGGCATCACTCCTTGAAGAGTTAAAAATGAGACTTAAAGAACAAAAAGAAGAAGCACAAGACAGAAGAGGACCTTTTGGCTTCGTATTTCAATTTTTAGAAATGGAGATCTTGAACTATGAAAAACAACAAGAAACGCTGGCAGAACAAGAAGGACGGGACAACGAAGAAGCCATCTTTAATGACCAAGCAATTTTAAGCGGGGTAAAAAAGGGAAAGGGGGGAAAGGGAGTTAAAAACTTAAGCACTGAAGCAACAACCAAAAAAAAATAGTAATTTGAAAAGTAATCATAATATCAGGAAGAAGCAGAAGGGAGGATCACAGAAGGGAGAATCAGAAAAGGGAATAAAAAGGGGAGGGAGAAGAAGAGAGGGAAGAGGGAAAGGAAAACAAGCTACAAAAGACAGAAACAAGATATAGAGATACAGGAAAAATGTACAATAATTAAAGGTATAAACCTATTTAAAAGACACAGAGACAATGGTTAAAATTTAACTTAAGGAGAGGATTCTGCAAGGATGCATGGGATAGCATTGTTATATTAGAAATAGAAAAGGGTTAGAAAATATGTTAGATGATTAAAGTGATAGAAAACATTTCTATTGATGTGTAGTGGAATATTTGTTTGTAAAGAGAATAAGGCTCTCAATGATTTAAAAAGAACGTTTAAAAAAAACTGAAAAGAAACATGGAAGATTTTTATCAGTTGACAAGATGAACTTGAATAAAAATAATAACTTTATTGACTACTGTTAATAAGTATTGTTTGTTTTTTATTTAAAGACAGTAATAAATAAAATATGAAATATAGATGATTAAAGTGAAAGAAAACTGATATTACTAGGTAATGTTTGTTAAAAGAAATAGAAATGTAAAAGATTATTAATATTAATGGCAGAGCTGTACTTGAATAGAATAATTATTCCATTTACTATTGTTATACATATATACACAGATATATATACATACATACATACATACATACATACATACATACATACATACATATATATATTTCTTTTAAGAATTTAGTA